CCTAACCCTAACCCTAACCCTAACCCTAACCCTAACCCTAACCCTAACCCTAACCCTAACCCTAACCCTAACCCTAACCCTAACCCTAACCCTAACCCTAACCCTAACCCTAACCCTAACCCTAACCCTAACCCTAACCCTTTCAATACCGAACCTTACATTTAATTCTACGCGTTCACTCTGCTTCTACATCGACCGGATCGGGTTCTAGCCACGTATGATACAATCAGACCGGGTTTCAACACTCCACTACCTCCACGGATCGGGTTGCAGCCATATACAGTGTCCATGGACTGGGTTCCATCCATATATGGAATCTATCACTACCACTACCTTCAATATCTTGCTACTTTCGCATTTTGGACTCTTTACTGACTGTGACAATGTAGCTACTCATCACTTGCACTTCTATTCTATTACAAATTCCAGTTAGAGCGGATTTTGTAGTCTTGTTACACCACCATTGACTGTGAGAATCTGCTTCTGAATTACTTGTAATACACCCCCTTCATCTCGAAGTTTTCACTAGTACAGCCATCAATACTTGAATTATACTCATAATTATGTTCTAGTCATATGTATTCAACTTCTCTGATCAACTCTTGTTCAGACAGCTAAGCTTTCTAGTCATTGGTTCACTTTGTATAATTTGTAGTCACTATTTCGCATTTTTGTAACTGTGTGAATATCTTATGTAGTAGCCTACTAGCTCCGGAGTTGGGGGCTGAGCCAGGGGCTTGAGTGGTAAGTCTGTTGTGTAACTTCGCATTTTTTCTCCTTTGATGAGCCTGGAAGTGCTGGCAATTACTTCGGACCATTTCATCCTTATGTTTTTTGCTATTCTGAACAACTTTCTCCACTCAAGCAAACTATGAAAATCACTTCCTGGCCTTCTACTGCCTTGCCTCCTCCTCAGTTTTCGCTTTTTTGCTTTGTGGGGAGTCAAATAAATTTGTAATTCGCTTCGGATCAGTTCTAACTTATGTTTTTCATCATTCTGAACAAGTTTCACACTGACACTTAAGCTCCATTCTGACATCCTGAGCCTGTACCATCATCAAGATCCATTTTGAGCGGATTTTGTAGTCTTTATAACATGGTACTGACTGTGGGACATCTGAGTCTAAAGTAATGTAATGCTTCGCACTTTTGTGACTGTGAGAAAGACTTCTATAATAGTCCAGGGGCTCAAGGGGTCACATTCTGGTGTTAATTCGCATTTTTGCTCCATTGCTGAGCCTGAATGTACTGAGAATCATTTCGGGCCAATTCATCGTTATGTTATTTGGCATTCTGAACAACTTTCTTCACTCAAGCAAGTCATGAAAATCACTTTCTGGCCTTCTATAGCCATGTCTCCTGCTCAGTTTTCGCTTTTTGGCCCTGTACAGAGTGTAATAATTTTTTTGATAGCTTCGGACCAATCCTCCCTTATGTTTTTGGCTATTCTGAGCAACTCTTACACTCACACCTAAGCTCCATGAGCACAGCTTGACCCTCTACCATCAAAAAACTCCGTTTTGAGGTGATTTTGTAGTCTTTATTAGTTCTTACTGACTGTGGGACATCTGAGTTTGAACGAATGTGATGGTTCGCACTTTTGTAACTGTGGGAAATGCTTCCCAAGTGGGCCAGGGGGCTCAAGGGGTCACATTCTGGTATAAATTCGCATTTCTGCTTCATTGCTGAGCCTGGACTCAGTGGAAATCATTTCAGACCAATTCATCGTTATGTTATTTTCCATTCCGAACAACTTTCCCCACTCAAGCAAGTCATGAAACTCGCTTCCTGGCCTCCTATGGCCATATCTCTTGCTGCATTTTCGCATTCTTGACTTGTACAGAGTGCAATAAATTTTTACATAGCTTCGGACCAGCTTAGCCTCATTTTTTCCATCATTCTGCACAACCTTCACACTCACAACTAAGCTCCATGATCACATCCTGATCCTCTACCAGCAGAAAAAGCGGATTTTGTGATGTTTATTACATGGAACTGACTGTGGGATATCTGAGTTCACATTAATGTAATGGTTCGCACTTTTGTAACTGTGGGAAAAGCGTCCTAAGTGGGCCAGGGGACTCAAGGGGTTACATCCAGGTGCAAGTTCGCATTTTTGCTACTTTGTTGATGCTGCAACAGTGTAACTAATCTCGGACCAATTCAGATTTATGTTTTTCCACATTTGGAGCAACTTCCTTCACTCAAGCAAGTCCTGAGAATCAATTCCTGAGCCAGTATTGCATGATTTCTTGCTAAACTTCGCATTTTTGCCTGTCTAACTTAGCAACAAAGACTGCTAGTGATGTTGGCTCAGTTGTAGCCTATGTAATTTCTCATTCTGAACACTTCTTGTCACTCAAGCAAATGATGAAAATCAATCCTTGGCTCAGTATTCCTGTAGTGAATGGTAAACTTCGCATTTTTGCACCTTTTCCCACTTCAAATTGTCCCCAATAGCTCCGGAGTTTCTGTATTTTATGTATTTTCTCATTCTCAGCAACTTTACTCCATATACCTAAGTAATTGGGACAAGTCCTGCCCTTGTATTCACCAAAAAAAGGCCCTCAGAGCGAATTTTGTTGTTCTTTGCCTGTGGGAATATCCCCTAGCTCTCCTGGGTCATGTGCTTACAGAAAACCTCTGAAGTATTCTGTAAGCACATGACCCAGGGGGCCTAGGAGTCACCTTCTGGCTGTACTTCGCATTTTTGCTCAATTTAAATGGCAATACCTGCTGCTACAAAATGCTCTCCACATTGTACTTATGTTTTTTCATATTCTGAACAACTTTGTCCACTCAAGCAAGTCATGAAAACAACATCCTGAGGAAGTACAGCTCATTCTTCCTGCTAACTTCGCATTTTTGAGCCTGTAGCTTGTCCTTAAAATATGCCAGCTATATACTGTCAACTGTATCCCATGTAATTTCGCATTCTGAACACTTTTCTCCACTCAAGCAAGTCATGAAAATCAAATCCTAAGTCACTAGTCCTGTATTTGCTGTTTAACTTCGCATTTTTGCACCTTTTCACTGCCTTAAAATGGCCCTAACTACTCCGGAGTTTTTGCTTCTTATGTTTTTAATTATTCTGAACAACTTTCCACTATATACCTAAGCAATTGGAGCAGGTTCTGACCATGTTTCATTACAAAAAGTGCCACTAGAGCGGAATTTGAAGTCCCTAATGTGAGCTACTGACTGTGAGAAACTAATTTTGTAATGAGGTCGGAGTTGTGATGTATTGTAACTGTGAGAAAATGCGAAAACTCAGCTTCCTGAATAGGAAGGTCAGGGGAAAAGGGGAACAGGGGCGCATTAAATAAAACACAAAGATAATTCTACAGGTCAGGCCCAAGTGGGCCCAAGTGGACACAACAGGTGCCCAATCCTGAGGGATATATATGGGGAGGTCTGGGAGGTTGTTGTGTCCGCTTGGGCCCATTTGCCATATCCTTGTAGCCAGTATAGTGGTTTTGCAGGTAGTAATCCAGTTGCTGAATGATGAGGAAGTGGCCCAAGCGGACACAACAGGGCTTCCCATATAGCCTTTGGGTATATCTAGAGATGGTAAGTTGTTGTGTCCGCTTGGGCCCACTTTCTGAGACTTGGGCCCCCCTTCTCCTCGTCCCAAAACGGTATTTGGGCTATAGCACAAGGAGGAGGGCAGCTATCTCCGTAGAAACTAGATCAGTATACTCTCCTAACATGCCCGGACATATTTCGTCACCTAACCCTGGCCTGGGGAGCAACGGTTGCTTCGCTACGCTCAGCGACATTCTCGACGAAGAAGGGGGTGTGGAGGGACAACGGGACAAGAAAAGCCGGACACAACAAGCTGATTACCCATCAGTAGACCCTAACGGAGGTGTGTGAAGTTGTTGTGTCCCAAACGGAGGAGGTCGACCGATTACACCCTGTAATCCGTCGGATAATATAGATAGGTGCGATATTTACGCAGACTCGCCAACAAACCAACACTACCAACACTACCATTTGAACACCAGCATGACACGTCTTTCTATGGTCAAATCGCTGCTTTCGAATCAACGAGACGTCCAGCGACAAACGATCAAAGTGACATTGAACTTTCTAACTCGCGATCAAACAAAGCAAGAGATGAGCGAGCGTCTGGGGTATAATGTTGAGCAATTGAGCACATGGGTGATAATGTACGTAGCTTACCTGATGAGAATATTAACTGATTTGAGCATTTGCAGCAATGGACGCCATCAAAGCACGGACGGCGCACACATCACAATCCGGGGATTTCAGGGGAAATGGGCGGCCATCACGGTCCACATCTACGTGGATGAGTGGTACCGTTACGAAGATTACACTGCCTGGTTGAACGGAAAAAAGTTACGGCAAAAGACAACACAACTTCGAAAGTAAGTACAGAAACACGTACGGTATGAATTCGACGCTCATTTTCGCATTTACACGCTAGCCAAATCTATTGATATTCTTTTGATAGAAAGGGACAACATGGTCTTGATTCACGGCTGTAATGTAGTAGTAGTACTTGTGTAAATCAGCAGCAAAAGTATGGGTAGATCTTGGGTAAAGCTACATAGCAATAATAAGTAGATAGATGAACTTGTAGTAATGACTTAGAGAATAACAATGATAATGATTGTCTTTCTTAATATACAACGATGTGCATACTGGTCGTGAGCTCAGGCATGTGGAGTGTCAATTTAATCGTCATTCTCTGATGTCTATTATTTTGGACAGTATGTATTGTTTGCTACATGTGCGTTATGTATATATTCATTATATTCATAGTATCTACAGGAAAGGTGTATGTGGTGGTAAGAAGGAAAGAAGGAAAAAACGGATCACGGAGTCCGCGACGTGACTTGGGGGGCGATCGGGTGCGGAAGATGCCGATGATTCAAGTCACATGAGGTACAGATAAAAAATTGCCTGATATAGATACCTCGGATATTCTAAATACCATCGCCGAGGGTAGCCCGAAGATAAGATAAAAGAAAATTAGAATTCCATCAGGATACCCTCGCCGAGGATGGTAAGATGGCAATTTGATTATCTTCTGCCAATCATCTTGCGTGGTAATCAGAAGATATCCTGATTTCCCTCGACGAGGGAATTCAGAACATAGCCGGATGATATTTAGATTATCTTTCTCGATAACTTCCGGTTGCTATCTCAGGAGGTTTTCTGATTATCTTCCCCGATGGAAGTGTGAATTTATTTTATATGTTAATTACATTTACTTCTCATTTCCGCCGCAGATGTAAATGGGAATTTATTTAATGTAATCACTAAGCTAACATCTCAATTCCCTCTGTGAGGTTATCGGCTTATCCCCGCAGTGGCTGGGGTGCAGGGCTTTCCCTCTTTGTACCGACCAGGCAAACCCGCACTGTCTGCATATGCGTTGACTCTGAGCATTCGTCGGCGGAAACGAAGGTGGGGGAGGGGCCGACTGTACGCCGTTTACGTCGCCCTGGCTTTGGGAGCCATTCGCTGCGAAGGGGTGAGTATTCGATTCTGTCGTCTGAAGAAACTATGCACCTGTTAGATTGCCCGAACTTCCACTGGCGCCGAACTTGCTCTTCTTCACCGGAGCGCCCGTCACCACCGGCGCGAAGACGTGCGTCTGATACGTTTGGACCTGGCCTGGTTGGGGTAAAGGGCCTGGCTCCACCTGCGATTGTCGTCCCGATCGGGTAGCACGGTACTCCATTGGAGGAGGGATAGGCTGAGGTGGTGGTGAATACCGCCTAGACGGCATGGCGACGTTTGAGGGAGGGGGCGGTTGCCTCCATTTTCGGGCTGTAGGGTCGAGATGGATGATGTGGCTGATATGGGGGCACGTTAGGACGATAAGGGATAGTGGGTGGTACGATTGCTTGTCGATGCCGTCGAGCCGGTAGAATTGTTTCGGTGTGGGCCCTTGGTAGACGGAGGCCCTATCGTAGACGAAGATGAGAATAGTGAGCGACTAGCAGCAGGTAAAGCGTTGAGATCCGCCAATACCAACGGCGCACCACCGTCTGCTACGATCCGGGCGAACCCCGCTCTGGCGTCTGAGGCATGGAACTCAAGACCTTGGAGATATCGCTCCAGTTGCTGCCAGTTATCCACCACCATCCTTCTTCGAGCCTCTGCCTCATCTCGTGCCTGCTCCGCTTCGGCGACTCTCTCTTCATACTCAAGAATGAGGGCTCGCGCCGCGTCGGGGTTGTGGACGGCCGCCGATGGTGTCACGTTAGGCGAAGAACCAGCGGTCGAGGAGTTTGAACCTTGACCTGAGACGGCCGACAGCGCGTTTTCGAGTCGACGACAGCTCACAACGAAGATGCTCTGCTTCTTTGCAGGCATCGGCGAGGATGGAGGCTAATTGGGAATGCGTTTGTGAAGTGAGAGTGTCGGGAGAAGGAACATTAGACATGGGCGGGGGAACAAGACGTCGGTCATCGTTACCGTAGTCGTCGTCGTCGGCTGTCACGGTGAATCTTGAGGCGACGACATGGTGGGAAAAAAGAAAGGAGATGTAGGACAAACTAATATGAAAATCGGGGAATCGCACCCATTTATTTGCAATCCTCATCCCAGTGCGGCCAAATCTACTCCACTGCTGTTGCTGTTGCCAACGCTCGTGGTCGCCGTTTGAGGTCGGTATGTGAGGCTGGGAAAGGCGGGCAAGGGTGACATGTGTCTGAGTCGGCGCTGGCAGTGTGCGCAGATGAGTTCAAAACGAATTCAGTGGCAGCGTTGATACTCACCTCTATGGTCACTCTCTCCTTGTATGTCCAGCGCACAAAGTATCGTGTGCTCGCAGAATCCCCACGTCAGAGTCATTAGACGCAGCTAGGGTGGCCTCCCTGCCGTACTTTGAGGGGAGATGGTCATTGGCGGGAGCATCCTGGACTTTGTAGCCACTACGCTAAACTTGGATCTACGCAGGTCAGTAAATTCGCAAGCTCGGAGCTGAAAGGAGCTCACCTCTTCATGCATCAAAGCGCTTTGCCCCGCCATCCCGTTGTCGCCGGTCCCTCTGCGCGACACTGCGCATCACCCTCTCGGTTGCCCCTCCGTTACACCATTCCTCACCATAGTGATCCTGGCGCGTGGTCGCCTCATTTACGCTGAATGCGCAATCCGCTTCTTCGTCTCGCTTGTGCATAGTGTCTGCGATGCCGCGGATGGTGAGTAAGTTACTCTTGCATCGTGACGATCCAACCCACCACTCCGTTCGACGGCTTTCGCGACGCCTCTCAACCGTTCAGCCCGCTCTCGATTCGTGGGGTAGTCCCTGGGTTCTGGGGCTAGCCACTGGGCCCGCGGTTGGAGTCGGTGGGAGGAGAGGGTACCGTAGAAGGCTGGAGCGTCGTAGGCGGTTGAGCGCGTCTAAGAGGGACGTAGGAGGGTCTTGCGAGCGCTTGATGGTGTCACGTTCGAGGAGAGAGAGAGCAGCATGGGTTTGTGGTTGGTCCCGCCCCGTTGTATGATGTACGGTACGTCCCAGGGCCGGGATATACACGGTACACTATACATCAGGGCGGGGCTTTGTGGCTTCCATGGTACCCGGCGTCGATCACCATGGTCACTGGCGGACGGGCGGTATCCTCGTAGGAGGGTCCCGAATCAGTATTGCGGCGGTGATGGGGAGGGAGGCACAGGCGATGAGCCTCATGGCTGCGGTGCGACGTGTTGGACGCGTGATCAAGACATAAGTGGGGTGTGAGCGTACCTCTGGTTATCTGCACCGCCTGACCCGCTTCCTCGCCCTTTCGTTCGCCTGTCTCCTGTCTTGTTCGTCCCGCATGTCTCCTTGGGATTGAGGGAGAGTAAAGGCCGTTGAGAGAGAGAGAGAGGTCTCTCGTCGTTGCCTGGTACCGCTTGACAACGGCGAAAGCTCATGCTCGGCGCCATCTACCCCCGATGCATCCTGCAACTCCCTGCCGTCACCGTCCGGCCCCGTTCGATTTCGTGCCTACGCCGCCGACGCCTCCGCCGCCTCCGATTCTCAATGTCGATTCTCGTGTCCCCTTTCTCGTGTATCGTTTGCCGTTTCTCGTTTCTCCGATTCCCGTGTCTGGTTTCTCGTTTCTCGCCTCTCGTATCTCCGTTTCCCGTTTGCCGTGTCCCATCCCTGGCTTCCCAGCGTGGATTCCTCAGCGCTCGGCTCGGGGTGCAGGGTGGACGCATGGGGTAGCGTAGCTGGATGGAGTAGGATACTGAAGTTCCAGGGTGACGGGGTAGCGGAGTCGACCGGGATATAATGCTGGGATATGATGATGGTGAAGGGTTTCCCTCGCGTCCTATGGGTCGCAGGGTGATGTCCGTGATGGTGGATACCATTCACAACTGGATCGTTCGAGCGTGGCTGCTGATGTGGTGGGTTAGGATGATTTGGATTCCCATGAGGGAATTGCGGCTGATTTTCGTCACCTGTAGCAGCTAGGAGAAGTTCGTCGATGTTTTCCGATTCCGCGCTAACGTGAGCGAGGGTGGTGAAGGTTCGGTGAGGCGCCATATTTATTGTTGATCAAGCCTAGCGGCGTGCGGCATGGACGAGTATGGCACATGGAGGTGATAGATATCGCCTTGGGGCTCGCTACAAGTGTCTTTCGGACACAGTATGCTGGTGAGTGGTATGCTAGGCACGAGCGTAGCAGGGCAACTCACCTGTTCATCCTCCCTTCTCATCGCCGCTTCCAATACACCAGCCGTCCGTTGTGCTCAGCGTCCCCCATGGTCGTGAGTAGCTGCTGTACGTATGGCGCTGGTTCGAGCAGCAACAGCGCAAGGCTGATACCGTCGTCTCGTCTCACTGGTGCGTAGGAAAAAGCTGTAGGTCAAGGTTATTCAGCTGTCCGCGCCCTCGATCGCATAGAGGCCTTGTTCGAAGCGCCAGCGTGGATGCTGCTGGGGTGATAACGTGGTGAGTGGTGAGGTTTCTGGACTTGCTGGGACCCACCTTCGCTGTGTCGTCGTCGTCGTCGTCGTCTACGCCAGCCCATCGCCGTCCTATCCCTTCTTAACTGGCCCCATTCCCTACCGTCCTTATGTCCTCGCTACTCCAGCAGGCTAAGTGTCGTCGCCGTTGTCGGGTGCTGGGCGCGACGCTGCGTGTGCTTCGGGACAATGTTATCGACACTGAGGGTTGCAGATGGAGAAGACGCGGGGGTTGGGGTGTTGTAGCGTTGTCAGGTCGTCGCACGGAGTGGGTGCAAGGTAGTTGGACGGATGCGGGGAAATGTGAGGGGAAGAGCGGCGCTGTGGGGGGATATCGTGGTGAGTGTATCTCCATTAGTTTGAGACGGGTACTCACATTCTTTTCTGCTGTCTGGTCTTCTCATCGTCGACGCCAGTGCCTAGCTGGCTCTCCCTGCCTCCGTCCTTCATCTATCCCCTTCCTACGCCTATTCCAACGACTGATGTTTGTCATTCCCTCGCTCGTTCGTCTCGCGTCGGCGTGCTACTGGCGTCTCAGCGGTCATCTCGCCTCGTCGTCATCGTCGTAGGCCATGTTGGCGGTATTACGGGCTCGGGAAACGTTGGTGGGCTTCTGTCGGGCTGTGGGATAGGGATAGGCAGTACCATGCTATGCCCAGGTGCGTATGCCGTTGATGGTATTGTGTAGTCCCGGTACGCCGTCGTTTGGGTTCGCAGTTGCGGCGCAACGTGTTCAGGTGTAGGGAAGTGGATCCTGCGTCGTAGACGTTGCGGCTGGCGGTGTCGGAGGCTGGGAGCTCTTGCCTCGTGAGCCGGGAGGCAAGTGGGTGGTGCATGGCCGGCAATAGGGTGGACAAGGGCAGCTGGTGTCGAGGTGAGTCTGCACTGAACTGAACTTTGAGGGCCATGGGGTCGTGCTTACCCTGCAGCCGTTGCCTCAGACACGTCCTGGGATTCAAGTTCGCCGGTCTACACCATGGCGCTGTGAGGGTACTAGAGTGAGGATGTGAGGACGAGGGTCAGGAAATGGAATACTTACCTATTGGCTTACCCAACCATGCCAACTTCATTTCCCTGACATGTTTGGTCCACGATGTCGAAGGAGAACGATGGAGGGCGGGAGTTCGCGAGTCAGTCATGCGAGAAGAAGAATATCGAGGGAGGACGATCGAGGGCGGGGCTGCCCCGCATTATTGGCGCTCCAACCAACGCCACGTGTACGATCGAACTCCGACCCGTTCCGAAGGCCGAGCTCGTTCCTCAATTCAACCAAGTCCTCAAACGCACACCACCACCACGACGGAAACTGTGACGACCAGGGTTTCTTTTCATGACCATCCCTTTTCCTCCCCTTCCCCTCCTCGTTCATACCGGCGCTACGGACAGGCTCTATTGAATGATGCGCGACGCAGGGCATGCGTATCCGAGGCCACTCCCTTCCAGACGGCCAGGCGATCGTTCAGGCGGCGTGAGTAGAGGTGATACCGCGGGATGTGGTATCTGCAGCAACTTGTCTAGGCAAACGCTTCGGTAAGTCTGGTTTCGCTTCAAGTAGGAGTTGGCTGACACGCAGTATACTGGGTTCAGGAATGACATCAAACGCCAGGCCATACATGACCTGGGCCAGTTTCCATGATGAAATACGCCAGGTTACTGGTCCTGGCTGCTGTTCAGGTACGTCTGAATCCGTGGTGCCGCATCCTACTTTTATAGATTGATGCGTAGAGTACTCTCAGATGGCGGCCAGTCCCTTTATAACGAGCACACCCGATAGCGCGCGCTTGCACATGGTGGTTTCAACAGGAAGACCATGAGTACACCGTTTCTTGCGCATACACACACACGAAACGCGACGATGACAGGGTTAGGGTGTCGGTTAGCGGTTGATACGGAGCATAATCCGAGACCCAGATGAGGACATTCGGGGACAAGGGGTGCCATGCTGGATTCATTAAATTCAATGGCGGCGCAGGGGAAGTATGGGACGACTCTAGAACAGATGGCGTAAACGCAGGTACGTGGCATCGCATTTTGAAATATATATGCGCTGACATGCGAAAATCTAGAGATGCACTATGGATCTCGGCTTCGTCTCGATACATATTGTCGCCATGAACCTTTCTGGGTCGCGTTTTTGCGCTGCCCATCGCGACTTCAGCGGTGACCGACCTGTCGCCGTAGTGTCCATGGAATCCACGACATGCGAGACAATGACGGAGCCTGTCAGGGTTAGACGCAGGTGCAACAGGTCAGAAGGGGTGATAGGTCGCCAGCGTAGATGTGTAACTAGGACATGTGTATATGGGTAGAGGGTTGGATGGAGTGGGAGGATAGATGTACCAATGGATGGATGTACCAATGGATGGCTATGCGCGAGGGTCACGAACGGTTTCCGTTCGCGAGATCAATCACGCGTGGACGGCGTCGATCGACGAGAAGAGCGGGATCGAATCTGGGTGGCCAGATGCGGCAATATTGCTACAATCGGTTCCCGTTCGCGTGTTTTGTCATGCGAAGATGGAGGCAATGGACGGGAAGAGACACGAACACTGGCTATGTGGGAACTCTGACGAACGGTCCCCGTTCGCGAAGATATCGACGGACGAGAGAACGCCTGACGAACGGTCCCTGTTCGCGAGGGATATCAAGAGCAAGCAAGTATCACGAACAGTTCCCATCCGCAAGGCGTCTACTAGCTGGTATACGAACAGAACTCCTTGGCGAGACTGCGTGTTGATGCCGCATCCCCAAAAGTGGAAGGATTTCTACGGTTTCGGGTCTGCCCACCCGCTATCAAAGCGCAGCCAATGGGGGCATTGGGTGAGGCTTAGATAGATAGGCCGCAGCTCGACGTTCAGATTTGCTGAAGTTCGCTGGTCGGCGACGGAGAGGATATTGTCCAGCTTACTGGTGCTGAATGTGGCAGCCGCGCGGCGGATACGCGACGTAAAGCCTGGCAATACGTAAGCGGAAATGTGAGCATGCAAAACCGTCTGACATACAGAGCATTCCTTGTCGATATGAGCCCAGAAGAGAGTCAATGAGAAAACATGACTGGACTTCGTAGCCTTGTCGTACGCTTCTACTTCGTTCTTACTTTCACCTGACCCCTATAAATCCAGCTTTTGGGCCGAGTTGTGTGTAGGGAATGTACCGTGCTAATTGTGCGGTATGTATCTGACTTTCCAGCTACTCTGAGGGCTGAGCAAAGTTTGAAATTCGTGCCAACTTAATCCCAGATAGAAAGGCAAACTTGTAAGAGCGTAAGAGTTGAAATGGGACATATGGACATACACGATATTCCTACGAGAGCGACGCAAAAACAGATGGAGAGTAAGAGCAAGATCACGAACGAGGGGCCATACAAGAAAGCGAAATGGGGATCATATACTCTCTGACTTCATCCAAGAACCACCGGCACTCGAGTTGCTGCTGTTGGCCTCAGCAGCATCAACCGCCTCCAGTAGATCCGCTTCTGAATCTTCTGCCTCCGCTTCAGCGTCTGCGTCGACTCCTCTTCTCCCGCTTCTGCTTCTTTACTGCCAATATCATCAGCAACGCCTGCGATCTCGGCCAACTCCCTTAGCGCATCTCCGTCTTCTTCTGGTCCATCACTGTCGCCGTCACCAGACCCATCGGCGTCGGCATCGGGTTCTGGATCCCCGCCATCGATGTCCATCTTCGACATCATCCCGACCTTTCTGGCGCCACCTTCGCCAACCAAAGGCGAGAGGAGCCGGCTTTCGGGGGACGTCGACTGGGGTTTCTTGAGTTAGAACGCGAACGAGACGAGAGCGTGCCTTCTGGGAGGGTCGCAATGCTGGGTGGCGATGGGGGGCTTGTCCTTGGTGCGAGTTCGTAATTGCAGAACGCAGGTTCGCGCTAGAGTCGTCTTTGTACTGCTGTATAGGCATAGTATCCGCTCGCGGCGGGGCCTGGATCGTTCGGACCGGGGCAGTCTGTTGTTGGAATGCTGCGTTATGCGTGGCAGCGACGGCGTTTGCAGTCTGCGCGGCTACCTGCTACCCTTCCAGTGTCCCCCGCCGTTCGACCCGTTTCATCTTCGTGCAGCATCTACGATTAACCGTCAGCAACGATCTTACGGCCAACATTATCACCCACCTATCGCATACGGTGCCTGGGCCTTGAGGCCCTGGTCCCCATTTCTCCACACACTTCTAAGCTTGGGTTCTATAGTCTGAGTGCTGGATCTGGCGTTTAGTGTGGGCGTCGTAGTTGAGGACGTCGGAGATGGCAGTGCATTGAAGTGAAATAGGTCCGCTAGTGGTCGAGGTGGACGTGGACGTGGTGGGCGCGCGTTAGTATACTATCTCCCATCTCCCATCTGTATCGTAACCGTCAACTGGCGAGCTGGTTTGACCTCGAGCACGCACACTGAGTTCGCACGTCCCCTTTGACACCAACGTCCAGGTAACTCTTGGTCGTGGGCCCAGGTGTTCTCTCGCTTCTCCCTTGCAACGCTACAACTCCTCCATTCGGTTGACGAGGCTTTGGAGTCTGCGCCGTGGTGAATCTCGTTTGCCTTCTTATCGGGTCAAACGACTGACTGACCGCCATCTCGCTGTAGCTCCTTTCATCGTCGTTGTCGTCGACATTCACTGGCGTTGAAGGTGGCGTTGTGGGGCGGCCTCGAGTGCGTGACACTCGACTTGAGCTCCAAGGTTCGTTGCCCTTCTTCATCGTCTTCGTGTTTCGACTAACCATCTTGCATCCAGGTCCATCCTTATTATCGCCGCCGCCATAATGTTCTCAGAGTTTGACGGCATCGACCACGACCGGGTCTGGCTGTATCTTCACGGTACGTAATCCTCTCTCCTTGTACCTGGTTCCACTTCTACCCCTCCTCGTGGTTCGTGTCCCTCCGGGTTTGGTTCGTGCTATCGAGGGTGATCGACTGCCAACATTATCAGCGCTCGAACGAACTTGACGTGCACATTTAAAGTCCGCTCCGTTCCGTTGACGGATCCCGGACTTCACCTCCACGCGCGAACCGCGACGATGACGACGACGACGATGTGCACGGCAATGACGAACGCAGATCTCAAGTCCCGTTTACACAGCACGCTCGTTGCTCTAGGAGCTCACGCCACCTGCCGACTTTCCCCGTGTCTTGCCTTCATAGCCCACGTCTCCTTCGAGCGAGTCGAGCTCGCCAGCACCTCTCTGCGCCCTGCATTTGTGCAAGTCGTGAACCATCCCCTCTCACCGTAACCTCACTAGCTGCGCTAGCATCAACGGTTGCCGTCAAAGTCGTCGCCAACGCCCAGAGGGGTGTTCAAGTTCGCACAAATAAAATGTGGGAGTTCGGGATGCTGAGGGGGCGCTGAAGGAGGGGGAGAATTGGGCGCAGGAATGTGGCGAAAGGACAGGCGATGCGAGAGGACATGATAGTGAGTCGTGCTGTCGTCATGGAGGACGCACGTGCTTACCTTGCTCGTCGTCGCCTACTCCCTTCGCTCTCGTGCTCCACGACTACCTCCCCCATTCCTTGCGCTGCTCCCCGCAGAGTAGCGCGTCCCATTGTCAATTGTAACCCCAGGGACAGCGCTGGGTACGCTTGCTGGTGTGCGCAGAGGGCCTTCGACGAGTAGTGGAGCGGAGGAGGATGTCGCCCCATCGATGTCGCAGATGTTGGGATGGAGAATGTGGGTGAAGGGGGGGACCCTGATGCTTGGTGCTTGGTGCTTGGTGCTTGGCTCGTCAGCTGGCACGGTTATTTTGGACGGCCTCGCCGCGAGTTCGTGGGACGTCTGAGAGGGTCTCGGTGTAGTTGCGACAGTGACAGAGGCGACGCCCTGCCTCCTGGCGTGCGCGGCAATGGGGAATAGGGAATCCAACGCTGCATCGCAGAGAGCGACGTGCAACACGCCATACGTAATCCGCTGACATTGCGGGTGCCGCAGCTCTGCCTGTGCATCAACTGCTTCCCGACGTCGTCGCCGATTACTCCACGTGTGGCGATCTTGGGATTTGGGCGCCGACACGAGGGGGACCCACCTTCTTCAGCCCTGCGCTGCGATACGTCGTCGTCGTCGTCCCCCACCATGCTTCTGTCCTCGATACTCCAGCAGGCAAAGTGTTGAGGCCGTTGTTGGGTCCTGGGTGCGACGCTCCGTGGGATTTGGGACGATGCGTTCGACGCTGATGGCCACAGACGGAGAAGATATGGGTGGTGTTGTAGGCATTGTCAGGGCGTCGCACGGAGTGGTTGGACGGGTGTGGTCGCGTCGACAGGGCGCGGGGAAAATGTGAGGGCCAGAGGGGGCTCTGTAGGACGAGATATTGCGGTGAGCTCGTTCTCACTAGTGCGAGATGCGAGATGGGTGGTCACTTCTCATTCGCTGTTTGATCTCCTCATCGCCGATGCCAGTGCCTTGCAGCCTCTCCCTCTTGCCATCTGTCGTCTACCCCCTCTGTACGTCTATACGACCTGCTGGTCTTCGTAGCTCCATTGCTTCTCCGTCGCGCTGGCCTGCTAGTGGAGTCGCAGCATCCAGGTGTTCCCCGTCAGCATCTTCCATTGTCTGGTTTCGTCGTCGCCGTCGTCGTAGGCCACGTTGGCGCTGTTGCGGGCTGTGGAGACGTTGAGGGGCTTCTTTCGGGCGATGGTAGACGGCGACGTGGTGCGTAACCCGTTGCTGGCATTGCGTAGCCCCGGTACACTGTCGTTTGGGCTCGCAGTTGCGGTGCAACGTGTTCATGTGCGAGGTAAGTGGACCCTGGGTTGCAGACGTTGCGGCGAGGAGCGTTAGAGGCAGGGGATCCTTGCGTTGTGGACTGGGAGACGAGTGGATGGTGCAAGGCCGACAGTACGAGTTGGAGAGGCGGGAAGTGATCTATGGCTAAGGTAAGCGGGTAGAAGGAGATGTAATAATAGAGTACGCACCCAGTCGAGTTAATATACTCATTCCGATCCGGCTTTTCATTCGTCTCCCCTGGGATCGTAATGGGCGTAAGGCGTAGCGTACGTGAGAGAGTTGGACGCGTTGGCCACGTAGCTTGCGAGTTTGTGAGAGAGGGATGATGGTGTCGGTCGTGGAAGAGTTTGTCACGACTTGGCGTGGATTGAGGCACGTCGGAGTTGTCATCGTGTACCCTGTTGTCAACGTTGAGTTGGTAGTCGCTGCGGAAGAGCGCCGGCGCCTCTTTCTTGTTCGTTTAGGTAGGCGTGTTGAACTTGGTCGATCTCGGCACTCTTGACCACGAACACATCCTCTCTGTCGCTAGGTTAGCACGCAGTTCTTGTTTCATTGAGCAGTGACTCACAGTCCTATCAATCCCTTGCTTTCTTCTCATATCCCACCTTCCGACTTGCCTTCCCACCTTCCGACTTACCTTCCCGCACTCCGCTCCCCTTCTGCTCTCGTGGTTGCTCTTGATGGACATGCTCAGGTCCAGCGCCAGCACCAGCCAGCGCGCTTTCGTCTTCGTCATCGTTATCCTCCAGTTGCCGATGTGTCGATGGATCTGCGGCATATCCCCGACACGCGAGGTACCCAGTTATTCGCTTGCGATCTGGGGACTTTACGCACGTCCCAAGTCGTAGGATCCTGGTGCGCGCGCAAACGAGCATCTGCTGGGGGAGGGGCGTTTGGTAGCTGTGAAACGGCGGGGTTAGTGGGGGGAGGGGAGCGATAGGTTACCTGTTTACCTACTTTTTCCTCCCTCCCATCCATATTCCCCATTCCACTCCCCCGTTGCCACTCTGCGCAGCGCACTCTGGACACGATACTTCGCCAGCGCCAACGCCGTCGCCGTCTATTGAGGCACCTAATCTTCGCAGTCGTTGAGGAAGTGCCTCGAAGGCACCACGTCGTTCCAATGCCCCTATGCCGGGAGTTCGCAGGGAGGTGCAGGGAAAGAGGAGCATGTCTCTCGAACGCAAAGCGTAGGTGAGTGAGTGAGTCAGCCCCGATCCCACTAGCGTGATCACGTCTCGCCGCCGTGCCCCCTCGGCCTGCGTGTCCAGCCCGTTCCTTGTCCTGCGTTCCCCACGTCCTTTGGTGATTTTGTATCCCTGTTTTCGTTTCGCTTTCATTGTCGTTTTCGTTTTCGCATTCTGTCAACCCCAGTTCTCTACGCGACGCTGCTGCTAAACTTGTGTCCCTTCTTCAGTTCTTCGGGTCTTTTCTTCCCATTCCCCATTCCCTGTTCATCTCATAACCCGTCGCCGCACACCCATTAATCAAACCGTCCCAGTACCCCGCCCCGCAACTGAGTCTTGCGCGTTTCAGGGTAACCAATAATCGAAAATAGATCACACAAACGAGGTCCAGTCGCAGGAATGGCGGACGTGGATAGGATAAGCGGTGATCCCCTTGCGTTGCGCGGGTTTGTGCATCTTCGGGCTGTCTGAAGGTCGTGGGGTGAGTCTCGTTTGCGTTCTTCTTTGACTAACCGACTTACCGATGTCCTCTCTGTAGCTCCTCTTCACCGTCGTCGTCGTCATAGCACGTATTGGCTAGCATCTAAACCCAGCAACAAGGCACTACATGGACATCGAGGCACGTCGCCCCAATGCCCAATCCTCCACACAATCGCAATCACAATCGCAGACGTCGCAATCGCAGACCCTGTCGATAACGCCCTCTGCCATGCAGGGTTGGAGGGGCGCCGCGAGCACAGCGCTTTGGCGTCTCGGCGACATTCGTGCGGCGGGGCGCACCCGTGGTTCGTGGTGCGTTCACTACCTTCCTTTTGTTCGTCTCCTTCCCGCCTGGTTTGCGTTCATTCCACCTCATTCGTGTGTTCCCACTCCGTTCCCTCCGTCGCCCTGACTTCTCGTCCTCGTTGTCCTCGTTCGTTCCCCGCGTTCGCATCCCCCCCCTCGTTCTCGTTCTTTTAGTACACTTTCCCTGTGCTGACTATCCACCATATCCAGATCCAACCTCACTGCTCAACCCGCACGCACTCGTCGTCCTCCTCACGAACGAACGCCAGCGCCGCAAGAGCTGGTGTATGTCTCTGTGTGTGGGTGCGTCTGTGCGGGACGCTCGGCGCAGCCGACGTCCCTGTGAAGGGCATACTGCGCGCTCGGGGAATCGGGGAGGAACTCACAGGGAATTAGGGTGGTATTGGTGCAGAATCGGGGTACGTCGTCTCCCTCGTCTGCCCTGCCTCACGCATACTCATGCCTTTGTTTGATTCATCAGCGCGGGCGTGCATATGCAGACGCAGGAACTTGTGCTGTCGGCCGTCTCCGCCTGCGCGCCCGTCTGTCGTCTTTTCGTCATCTGGGCGTAGTGTGGGGGTAGTGTGCATAGCGTGGTTGCGGTGGACGTGCTAGGGAGACGTGGAGACGGGATGCAGGGCGATGCGATGGGATACGATGGGAGGGAGGGAAGGTGGACTACGAGGCGAGGCAATGGGGCAAGCTGCGAGTGCAGGCGGGATTCAATGGGACGGCGGATGGAAGTGAAGGTGGGATGGGAGTGAAGGCGGGGAGTGCGTCCGTGCGTGTGCATGCAGCAGGTGGGTCTCCATTTCTTTTCGTTCCTCTTCGTACCTTCGTTCGTCCATCCGCCGTTTGCGTTTGCATGTGCAACCCGATGTATCCCTTTCGTTCGTGTCCCATTCGTATTCCTCCATCCTGTTGTCTCCTCTTTTCATCCCTCCAACTTCGTCTTCCTCAGGGAGAGGCAGGATGGTGGCAGGTCGCGCACGAGAGGAGTGGGTACTGGGGGCGGGGACATCGCGGAATGGCGGAGGGATGTGGGGGATGAAGGAGAGGCACCGCGGGGAACGCTCTGAGCCAGAACATGTTCGTAAGTCGTTCCTGTTTCGTAGAGAATGCAGGAGTGCTTACCTTGTTCCTTGTTTACTGGTTTGTGGACTTCTTCGCCGCTCTCTCGTATACCCAGTCGCTAGAGGTAGCGCGTATTCATGGTCGGCGCCGTGTCGTCTCCGTACGAGCCCAGCACGCCTCTCTGCTGTGCTAGTCTCCCCTTCGTCTTGTCGTTGCCAGCGGGGGTTTCGAGGGGGCTCTGTGCGGTGTGCGCAAGTAGAAAGTGGCTGAAGAGAACGGTGGTGTCGTGCGCAAGCATGGATGAGCCCTCAAGGGCGGGGATTTCATGGAGAGGGACAGGGATGTATGGAACGGAGCAGAGGCATTGCTGCGCACGTCCTGGGTCACAACATGTCGCCTGTTTTGCAGAGAGCTAGGGTGCTTACCTGGCTACGTGATTCCCAGTTTGGTGAGTCCTCCGCTTGGCTCTCATGCCTCATGACTTCCATTTCAAAGCAGTGTGCCTCAGCGCGTGCGTTCGATGTCTCAAAGATTGAGCGTGGATGGCAGAGGGCATGGAAGGAGTGGGGTGCGAGAGGCTACCCCGCATTATTGACGCCCGAACTGGCGCCACGTGTACGATCAAACCCCGCCGTATTCCGTTGGCCGAGTCCTAACTTCGAATTCACCACTCTCTCATGCTTACCACGACGGCGACGACGACGATAAGGACATCGACGACTGTTGGGAAGGCCACAGCGCCCCCATTTCATTCCAATCCCCCCTCCTCCGTGTCTCCTTAAGCAAGAGGACTCTCGGCGCGTAACAACTAACAGAAAAGGTGTCGCTACCCAATGCCGCGCGTTCTCAAGTCGAACCAGGCGGCGAACGGGGGTCCAGAACGTTGGGTGAAGGAGAGATGGAGTGGAGACGGAGAGATCCTCCCCTGAAGCCGTCAGGTGAGTCTCTGCGCAGTTGGGAAGGCCATCTCATTCTTGTAGCCTGAAGTGGACGCGCGCGACCGCTGCGGGTGCGCGGACGAAAGCGAATACAAGCCCAACCTGATGCCGTCGTCTTCAAGCTCTGCCAGGCGTCGTCGAGTTCCCCACATCAGCATTATGCCTGGCACGTTCCATCCATGACTGGCGCGTCCATAGTCCTCACTCTACCGCCATCTTCAAATTTGCGACCACGTTACGTCCCCCTTGGTGCCCTCACCCACAGTCGTGGTTCGCAGAGGAAGCTCAAGGGGGAATCATACGGGCGCATATATTCACGTCAAACGCGATATCGGCGACGCGCGGGTATTGACTAGTGGGCGTACAGGCGCAGGCGGAGGGTAGAACAGGAGGGCTGTAGGGCGCAGAGGACTAGGCTACAACTGGTAGCACTACCGTGGTACGTCGCTGTTGAGTCCATGCGCATATATGCACTGACACGCGGTAGATTAGCCTGGCGGCTACTGGATGGGTTGCGATGCCGCTGTCTCGCTGACGCGCGCCCTCCTTCGACCGAGATGACCGCAACCACTCCCTCGCCGGGGGAGCCCCTATCTCCCATCGCTCCCTCTGCTGCCTGCTTCCCCCGCAATTACCAAAACCGCCCCCAACTTGAGGGGCCCCTGTCTCTTTCGGTGTGATGACATGCATGTCCGCGCCCTAATGGCAGCCCTGTCCTCTTCCCCTCCCTTCCTCTTCGCCGAGATGGCCGCGACCACCCCCACAATGTGGGGGGCCCCTATCTCCCATCCCTCCCTTCGCCTCTTCGTCGACGCGATTCCTGAGGCCATCCCAACCATGTGGGGCCCCTATGTCATGTGCATGTCACTGCATGATGACGTGCACCCTGCCTCTCCTTCGTTGCCATTCGCAAAGCTATTCCCAACTGGTGTGGGCCCCTGTATCACATCACTCCCTTTGCCTCCCTTCGTCGCAATCCCCTGAAGCCATTCCCTCGTTGAGGAAGCCCCTATCTCCCTCTACCTCCCTTCGCAGCAATTCACTCTCCCTGTCTCATCCCTTCGCTGCAATGTTCCTGCTATGCGGGCCGCAGTCTCATCACATGATGGGGTGTCAAGAGTAGGTGGTGTTGGTGAATGGCTATGAGCTTGTAGATAGTGTATAGCTAAGATTTCCGATGCATATATATGTGCTGATACTTGAATATTCAGTAGTGAGTCCGTGTTAGAGCTCGTAAACGAGCTCTAACACTTCTAGCTTGTAGGCAATGCTTAGTCCATAACTTTGCCCACTCACCTAACCTAACCACCGAGACAATCGCTCGTAAACGAGCTCCAAAATAAACGTTCTGAAACCCGAAGCCTTAAAGTCCTAATAATCCCTAATATCCCTAAAGCTACTCAGTGCTTAGTACGTGTCAGTGCAAATTCAATTGTAAGTCCGCGTTAGAGCTCGCATGCGCGAGGTCTAACGCTTGTAGTTCAGATGCATATAATACTTATTGTGTACCTTATACTTGATTCTGGTCTACATTTCAGTAGAAAAGGGGCCTGAATGGGCCAAAAAGTCATAATATTGGTCCGGCCTAACCCAGCATTAGGCCCGGACTCAGTGGATAGGGGTCAAACAATGTGCCGCCACCACAATTCTCAGCTGTTCCTCATTGAGGCTCGCAATGACTGGCACTCCTCTGCAAACATCGACGAGGGTACGTGCTATTGGGCTGCGCCAGACATTGGAGGCTGACTTCTCTCCAAACTAGGACTTGTCTGCAATGGGGCGGCTCATCAACGTCCCATGGTTCGCAACTGATGAAGCGTACCAGCAAGAACGTGATGATATGAAGACGATCAGACGACTATCTGCCACGAAAAACAGACCTGCGGACCAGGACGGTCTCCAGGAGGCGAGGGTTCAAATTTCAACTCGCATCAAGAATAGATTCAAAGGGAGGATCCTTTGTCGCTCTCCAGGAACAATCGGCCAAGACGGAAAGCCGCTTGTGAACCTACCTCAAAAGCGCCGTATTACCCTTGAGATCGAACCCACCCCCCGAGAGAAGGTGATCTTTGAGAAGAATGCCAATACGACAAGGGCAGAGTACGTGTCATAGCCTATTGATATGTGAGTCTGCGTTGGCACTTATACTGCATGACCAGCTTCTCTGGCAGTGACGCTCAGCTCCTGGTCATGAATCGAGGCTTCTATGTTCCCCACCGACTATGCATTGCCTACCCGCGAATCGGGAAAGAAGAAGAAGATGCCAACGGGAAGTCTCTTCCGTTTTTTGACCCCATCCCGCACTTTAATTCCCTCGAAGAATGGCAACCGATGAAGTCGACGAAGATACAGTCTGCCGTCGATCTTTGCGTTCACTTCCTTGCCAGTGACGAGGCTGGAATGCCTTATGTGTTAGATGGAGTCCTCGTGTTGCCGCCCATGCCGGACGAAGCAACGCCTTCTCGACAGAACAAGATTCTAATTTATCAAGAATACCCTTCCCTTGGACCGCTACTCAGAAATGTACGTTTCCCTTGCTTTAGATCCAATTGATTCTCATGGCCCATCGACATGTAGATTCTCACGTTACATGGAATACAACCGCTATGGATAGATGGGGGAATGAACACGAGGGCTCGTAGCAAGATTGTGAAAAAGTTCCATGCCAGCGACGAGTTCCGTGTCCTCATCATTTCATCGGTTGGATCAACCGGGTTGAATCTCGCCATTGCTAACATTGTGGTCTTTGTGGTATGGATCTACCTCAATTTTAGATGCCTTTTAATTGTTGTACTAGGACCAACCGTGGAGTGCTCTCGAACAACACCAAATCGAGAATCGATGCTATCGACAACCGCAAAAGAAGGACGTCTTGTGCTTCATGCTACTCATACGTGGTACTGCAGATATCATCCTCGCAAGTCACGCTCTCGGAAAACGGGACCTCTCTGAGTCCTTCCTCCCTGGCGGCCCAGATCCCTGTCAGGAGAACTGGGAAGGAACCAATTACATCCAAGGTATTTTGACCCAAAAATCACTTGCGCTCGATGCTGGCGAGGAAATGGAGATCGATGGTGAAGATATTTCGGGTACAGGAAAGACGCCGTCAAGGCGTAAGTCCAAACCAAAGACGGAAAAACCCGTTACTTTGTCTGCGCCTGTCACCTCCACTGGTGAGTATCCGTCGAGGACGGCGACATTGCTTCTCAATGCCTCCACAGCTTTAGAACACATGGACGATGCTATCACGATTGATGTTGAGGAGAAACAAGTTGATGAAAATCGTTCGGGAACAGGAAAGACGTCAAGGCGTAAGTCTAAGTCCAAGAAGGAAAAGCCCGTTACTTTGTCTGCGCCTGTCACCTCCACCGGTGAGTATACACTAAATTCTGCGACATTCTTTTTGAAGGCTCCCATAGCTCTAGAAAACACGGACGATGCTACACTTCCGTACGCATCTGAATTAGGTATCGTGTAATGTGTAATTGTCTGGAAAGTTTACCTCACGACCTCACTTTCAGAGGACGATATCCCTCGTCCCAGCGACGTCAAAGGCAAAAAGGGCAAGCAGAGTTTCCCCGGAGAGAGTAGCAAGAGTACGTTGAGTGCAGGCTGATCAATTTACAGCTGACAAGCCCTGAATCTAATAGACGGTGCTCAACGACTTAGGACGACCGATGTTGATTCCGATACGCCAATGGATACATCAATATCATCCGCCAAACCCAGAAAACATACTAAGACGTTCAGGAAAAGTAAGCAAAGCCGATTAATTTCAGCGCGACGTGACACTCAATATACTGATTAGAAAAACCGATAAGTGCGGAGACTGTCGAAGATTCTGATGGAGAGAATGACAACCGTGATGTCTCCGTTCAATCCAAGCAGACCTTGTCAGACGGCAAGCAAATCTTGGGCACGGTTATTGGCCAAGACGTCGCTGGTACTCACGTTAGCAAGTCTGCGTCCACAAGTGAGTATTATCATTGGGTACCAACGGTGTCAATGATCCAACGCCTACCACAGAGAAACCCTTGACATCCCTAGTCTCTTACAGCTCAGAAGACAGTCAACCCGGTACGTTCTGTCCGATTATCCATTCTTACCACCCGCAGATAATCATGTATCTTCAGACGAGTCCTCTATTCCCGGGATCCCGTCAAATCGTGAGTCATCTATCGGAAACTTTCATGGTCTAATTCATACGCATATCTGAATATTAGCAACAGTCGATGTTGAGGGACTTATTCCTGACCTTCAGCATGTGGACGTCAACAAGGGGAATTCGACAGCGGGGAGCGAGAACGAGAATCAACCGGAGATATTGGTTGGGGATGACCTGTCGAATAATGAGATAACC